GGCCAACACGGTGAAACCCTATCTCTAATAAAAAAAAAAAAAAAAAAGCAGGCTACGAAGCAGCATATGTAGCGAATGTGTAGAGTTATCAACAAACTTTTAAATTTAAAAGCTAGTACAGAAAGCTCTAGAAAGAAATATATATATAGTATCTCTGGATTTTTTCTAATTAGTGATTGTTTTATGCAGTACATAATTATAAATAAAGCTCAGAAATCTGTTAGTAACCTGGGCTCATATGCGATTCAGTGCAGTCTTTCTAGAAACCAACATGTAAATATGAACCAGGAGCCTTACAAATGTTCACATTTCCTTGTAATTCCATCTCTGGGAACCTTCTGGAAATAATCTCTAACAGGTTAGGGAGTACAAAAAGATGTTTTAGACCAGGCCCAATGGCTCATGCCTGTAATCCCAGCACTTTGGGAGGCTGAGGCGGGCAGACCACATGAAGTCAGGTGCTCGACACCAGCCTGGCCAAGATGGTAAAACCCCGTCTCTACTAAAAATACAAAAATCTAGCTGGGTGTGGTGATGGGCACTTGTAATCCCAGCTACTCAGGAGGCTGAGGCAGGAGAATTGCTTGAACCCAGGAGGCAGAGGTTGCAGTGAGCCGAGATCATGCCATTGCACTCCAGGCTGGGCGACAAGAGTGAGACTCCATCTCAAAAAAACAGATGTTTCAAATTTCACATATGAAAATTTTGGTTTCTGTAAATTTCAATTATGGAACAAATTAATATAATTGCATGTCTAGCAAAAATGGGATGTTTATAAACCATGGTACATCCATTAGACAGAACACTAAGAGCTATTACAAATGGTCCAATGCTAGATTTCAAAACAATTAAGATCACAAATTTGAATACAGTATGATCTAAACTATAAAAAAAGATCAAGCTAAATAACTTTTATAATTGCTTAAGTTAAAAAAAATTATAGCACTAATGTGAGATAAAAATCCAAAAACCTATTTAACCACCGATTTTCCATATATAGCTATAAAAAGCCAGGTATAAATTACAAACCTGTGGATATGTATAAATGTTTACACTTGTTTGCCTCCTCCACCTCGAACTGCCACTGGCTGGCTGTTCTGAACAAATGCACCTCCTCCACGAATTGCACTTGGATGAGTTGGAGAAGCTGCTGGATGTTGCCCGGGACGAATAGGTTTAGCTAATACGAAAAATAAAGACTGGCTTTAGAATAAAGCTTAAGATGTGACAGCAATGACTGTTAAGGTATCTTCTCTTATTCACAACAAATTTCCAAATGTTTTGTTTTTCTTTGCCTTTTTGTTTCTCTATCACTTTTTCTTTTCTGTTCCATTCTTTTCTCTAGGACCTGTACAATTCTGAGCCTTTAAAAATCTTCTTCCTGGCCAGGTGCAGTGGCTCATGCCTGTGTAATGCTGGCACTTCAAGAGGCTGAGGTGGGTGGATGACTTGAGTCCAGGATTTCAAGACCAGACAGAGCAATAAGGCAAAACCCAGTCTCTACAGAAAATACAAAAATCAGCCGGATGTGGTGGTATGCGCCTGTAGTTCTGGCTACTCGGGAGGCTGAGGTGGGAGTACTGCAGGAGCCTGGGAGGTCAGGGCTGCAGAGAGCCATAATTGCACCACTGCAGTCCAGCACAGGTGACAATGTAAGACCCTGTGTCATTTAAATAAATACAAAGAAACAAAATAAAAACAAAAAACTTCCTGCACCAATGATTATTATTATTATTTGAGATGGAGTCACCCAGGCTGGAGTGCAATGGTGCAATCTTGACTCACTGCAACCTCTACCTCCCAGCTTCAAAGGATTTTCCTGCCCCAGCCTCCCAAGTAGCTGGGATTACAGGGGTTAACCACCATGCCCAGCTAATTTTCTGTATTTAGTAGAGAGGTGGTTTCACCATGTTAGTCAGGTTGGTCTCAAACTCCTGACCTCAGGTGATCCAACCACCTCGGCCTCCCAAGGTGCTGGGATTACAGGCGTGAGCCATCGCGCTCAGCCACCAATGATCATTCTTAAACATGAAATCACTGCTGATGGCTTATTTTCTTGCAATTCTCTTGGCTTTAGTAATATTGCTCTACATAGTTTCTCCATTCCATGACAATTCTTGCTTGCTTCTCTAGTTCTCATTTATCTTCATGTCCTGCTAATGCGGTTATTCCTCTTTCCCACCAGTGCCACTCTTTGCTAAGTTAGAAAATAAAGACAGATGCACCATGAAAACACGTCATAAAATTCAGATTATGTTTTCAGCTAAGAGCATTCAAACTGAGCAAGGTTTAAAGGTTTTAATGTGTTCTACTAACCTATCTGTGCAGAATGCCCTCTTCTGGCCATATTCTTTGACCTGACTGCTTCCTTTATGCGATCTACTTCTTGCTGATAGCGTTTGCGGTCACGAGATGCATTTTCTTTGGCTTCTTTCAATGCTGATTCCAAAGCTTTCACTCTCTCAGCTGTAGCTCGGAGTCGCTTTTCCAACTTAGGAAGTTCGCAGCGGAGATCTGCATTATCACGTACCAACTAAGGGGTTCAAAAAGAAAACAAGGATTCTAGATTTAACAAAATGATTTTTTAAAGTACAAGCATTTCATAATTGCTCTTTAGAAAAGAAGTAAAACTACATTTTATATTGTTTCCCATTTATCTAATTTAGGCAGAAACATGCAGAGAATACATCCATCTGTACACATCATACACATATCTATTTATTCACAAAGGTATAGTTTCCTCTAATTTTTTAGGGGGAGGAAAAAATTATTTTTTGGAGGAAAAATTGTTATTTCCCTCTACTAGGCAAAGACAATAAATTACAAGACAGTGCTGTTTCTTCAGTAAGACAACTAATCTGGTGAAATGAAAATCCCTTTAGATATATTAAGCACATAACAAACATAAACTTAGCAAGCCCTTTAGTAAGTGCTGAAGACAAGAAAAGCTAAAATATCTTTAACCATACTCTGGTGCAAACTTAAGGTTTACAGTAACAAAGATACACAACAATTAAGAGTAGAGAAACTTTTTAAAATTAGTAACATAAATCATTTATCAAGTCCTAAAAAAAATAAGCAAAGAACAACCAAAAAAAACCTCCAAAGTAAGCATTACTTTTTTAAAAAAATGACAAACTCCTTAATTATATTGGACACACTGGATGGTGTATTAGGTATAAAAAGACCACTCTCCCCAGAAGACTGTATTTTAACTGCAAAGTCTTGTGTAGTAGAGATTTCAAAATTACAATAAATTATGAAAATGCAGTCTTAAAATCCTAAAGAGAAAATAAGAATACATATTTTCCCTATCTCTTTTGATAATAAGGTTGTTAAAATTATTAACTCCTCTAAAAGTTACTTGTGGTTTCTTTATATAATTTCTGATAAAATGGCTCAGGGTATAGAAATTCCGACGACGCTGAAAGACTGAAATACTTACTTGCCGATCCTCAATTTTTGATTTGTTACTACCCTTTCAGCTACCAGAAAATATACTCTTTAGTACCTGTTTGTGCACTTTAGTGAGCTGTTCAAGATTATTTTCAAGAAAGGAGATTTTTTGCTTCTGAGCAGCACTGCCTCCGGTGTCATCAGAATCAATCTCGGCACTCTGAGAAAAGAAGGTCAGTAAGTATTATGAAAAAATTAATTAAAAAATCTAAGCTTAACTATACAAAAACTGACATAACTGTAAAGCTATATCACTTTGAGTAACAGAATTACTTAGAAATAAGCACCATTACACAAACACCCACCTCGGCATGGTTATATTACCTTTTTAACTCTGGTAGCCAGGTCCTGAACAAAGAGCTTGCGCAGATTATGTAAAGTCTGAAGTTCTTTTGCCTTGGATTAAGAACAGCAATATTTTTGGAGTTCAGACTTTAAATTTAGAATAATCATGGTAGAAAAAAACCCATAAAATATTCCCCAATCCTTTTCTTACCACTGTCTCTTCCAAACCCTTCAAGTCTTGTTTTGCTTGTTCTCGTCTATCTTGTATAACCCTAACAGAAGAACAAACATAAATTTTCAAATTTTATTCCATAAAATTCTAGTTATACTTAGCATGAGAGTTGAATAAAATATTTTGTATCTGAAATGATCAATTATTAAATTTAAATAAATACAAGATGCTTATTTTAAACAATTTATCCATGTTGTATTTCCATTTTTTTTTGGAAACAGGATTTCTGTCCCGAACACTGCTCACTGCAGCCTTTGACCACCTGGGCTCAAATGATCCTCCCTGCTTGTTTCCCAAGCAGCTGGGACTACAGGCATGTACACCAGGCCTGTCGAAAGAGTTTTTTGTAAAGACGGGGTCTCACTATGCTGCCTAGGCTGATTCTCAAACTCTAGGCTCAAGTGATTCTCCCACCTTGACCTACCAAAGTGCTGAGATTATGGGTGTGAGCCACCGCACCTCGCCAATTTCAAGAAATTTCATATGCCTTCTAAAACAACAATTTATTGTTATAAATTCCATATACATCAATGGAAGAGATGAAATAAAATGTGGCAGAATTAGAAGAATAAGGAATGGTTCTAGTTTGTATTTTAAAATATGCCACATTATTATATTCCTATTTATCCAAGGTGATAATGATGAACTAATTATAGAGATTGTAAACTATCAAAGACCAAAATATTTTATATTAAAATTATTCTAAACATAATTACAGCTGCAAATTAGCAGAATCTTTATAAAATCCACTATGAACTTGTCCTGATGTTCTAACTATCCTCGTAATAGCAGTTCATTTGCAAATTATCTCACCCACTCAAGGTATGTGAAATACTATAATCATGAATTTTCTACTTGAAGACTCTAGAAAACTGAGTTTTGAGAAAATGAGAAAAAGTAAACCATGAAAACCTCTGTTCAAAATGGCAAGGCTAAAACCACAATGCTATTTTATACAAGAGAAAAACAACAAAAACTCAAGTTTTTGTGATCTTAAAATCTTTTAAGTTACTTAATATTGTGTTTTAGGTTAATTTTTATGCTGTGTCCTGAAGTAATATGGAGATAAGGAAACAGCAAGCAGACTAATAAACAGAAATCTAAATCTTATCCACCACTGAAATATAAGACCTTGCTTTCACTAAAATACAAGTGTATATTCCAAGTTTTTACATATAAATCATACCAACTCAATGGAGTTAAGAAAAACATCCTTTAGCCCATTCAAAGTAAAATATGTATCCACTGGCTATATCCAAAGGTAATGCCTATAATCCTTTAATTTAGCTTTATTTTTAAACTTTAATTAAAAACAATTACTTACGTAAGCTCATGTAGTTTTCTGCTCTTTTCCTGATCTGTAGCTTTCAACTTCTCATGTTCTACTCTTAGACGTTCCTGCTCTAACATCATTTTCTGGTTTTGGCTGACAAAAAAAAAAAAAAAAAAAAACACAGTTTCAATATCATAGTTTTCTCAATGTCATCATTAAAATTTCCGAACTTTAAAATTCTATAATCTCATCAAGGACTTTTATGCTATCCTATCCCCCATGGGGGAAAAGACGGAAGGGACCTGGCTACTTCTGGACATACAAAATTTTTCATATTTTGGTTTGAAATCATAATTTTGTTCTGCTATGTCTTTCATCTTGCTGAGTCCCTATGCCTACTTCCACTAGGTATTAATAACAAGACCTATGCCCCAACAATCATCATCATTTTGTTGTGTTAATCTCTTCCGGTTCCTAAATCAAATTGTTACAGACTTTGACTTCTCTAAACTCTTATGTATGCACATGGTTATGGAAGTAGGGAAAATGTCTTCTAGATAAACTAAGATGACAACTTAAAAACAAAAAACTTTAAAAATCCATATAATTTCCAGAAAATTTTTCCCAGTTAAGCATTTTCTTTTTTTGAGTCAGGGTCTAGCTCTGTCACCCAGGCTGGAGTACAATCATAGCTCACTGCAGCCTCAAACTCCAGCACTCAAGCAATCCTTGTGCCACAGCCTCCTGGGTCACTGGGACTACAGGCATGTGCCACCATGCTCAGCTAATTTTAAAAAATTGGGGGCCGGGCGCAGTGGCTCAAGCCTGTAATCCCAGCACTTTGGGAGGCCGAGGCGGGTGGATCATGAGGTCAAGAGATCGAGACCATCCTGGTCAACATGGTGAAACCCTGTCTTTACTAAAAATACAAAACATTAGCTGGGCATGGTGGTGCGTGCCTGTAATCCCAGCTACTCAGGAGGCTGAGGCAGGAGAATTGCCTGAACCCAGGAGGCAGAGGTTGCGGTGAGCCGAGATCGCGCCATTGCACTCCAGCCTGGGAAACATGAGTGAAACTCCGTCTCAAATAAATAAATAAATAATAAATAAATACATATAAATAAATATAAATAAATAAATATTGGTTTTTGTGGAGAGGGAGTCTCACTATGTTGCCCAGGCTGGTCTTGAACTCCTGGCCTCTAGTGATCCTCCAGCCTGGCCTCCCAAAGCACTAGGGTCACAGGCCATGACCTACTGCACCCAGCCAGGAATTTTTTTAAAAAAGAAAGGATTTGGAGGAGACCGTGGTATCTATTTGCAATAATGGATTTAGGTTGAGGATTCTTTTCTTCCTTTTTACGGAATAATTTAAATCAAAAGACCTAAAAAAAAAGCTTCAAAAATTTCATCTGGAATTTAGAAGTTTTTACTCATAAATGAGAAAATTCTTTATTTTCCAAGTCAAAAATGTAATTTCGAAGAAAATTCTAGTAAGAATATACTGTGTCCATCAGTAACTGACTCTTTCCTCACTAGATGTATAATACTTACTCTTGAAGATCAGTAATAAGTTTTTCTTTTGCTTCTACTTCATCTCTCAAACTACTGATTTGTTTTTGATGAGTTTCTCTGTGGCTTTGGATCTGCTGTTCAACAGCTTGCTAAAATTTTGAGGGGAAAAGGAAGTTAAAGTCAGACTAATCAAAATTAATGATGAATTAAAGCCATTAGAAAGGTGACATCAAACTTACCTTAACTTCATTTGCGGTCTGAACCTTATTTAAGTGCTCCTTTTCCATTTCATGGACTTTCTCTGAGTAGAGAGAAAATCAAATAGTGAAATAAGCCTTTAAGATTCCTCACATAAATCAAGGAGCAAATGGATTTTACAATAAGCATGTTCCTTAGCAATATTCAACTTTAAATTACCCAAATGTCAACTGCTCTCCAAGTTCTATGACATGTAGACTAGTACGCAAGTTACATCCATTGTGTTGATATTATTTATTATTTTATGTTTTTTTTTCCCCTGCATAATCCAGGAGAGATTAGTTAAGGGAATGGTAAAGGCATAACTCCTCAGTCCCCTATGTTAAGACACACAGACAGACATACAGACACAGACACACACACACACCCCCTTTATAACTGTGGGAAATCCCCAGATTGGCTATTTCCATATTCAAACAAAAATCTTTAAAAAATGTTTCAAAGCAACATCAATATGTATGATTTACCATTCCAAGTTAGCTATAGTCCTACTACTCTCTGTCAGTGTAAATATAAGTTTACTACAATTATACTAACATAAGAACACAGATGCAGCTCATAAACAGTTGGAAGCTATACCTTGTGCTCGAAGCTGGACTAGTTCTTCACTGAGAGAATCAACAGATTCCTCCAGCTGTCTTTTCTTTTGTTCCACATTTTGAAGGTATTCAGTCAATGACTTGATTTTGGCTTCATGCTTTTGGAAAAAATATATGGATATGAAGTAGAAAACATATCTCCTGCATATACATTGTTAAGAATATTCGAAAGTAAACATTTTATTATCTCTATATATAATACATTTGGGATCATTTAAACCTAAAATGCTCAGGAGCCAAATTTAAAATGTTAAAGAATTTAATCAATTAATTAAGTGGTGATGGTAACTTGCAAACTAAGGCACTGAAGACTCAAATATGAAATACTAGTTTTACAGATATCGCCATTTAATGCTACCCTCTTCCCTCCTTGTGAAATTCCAATCGTGGTTAATTGCCCCATTCATTCAGTTGACAAGCCAGGAAACTGTTCCCTGAAGTTTTGCCCACCCTGGAATTCTCGATCTTTAACAAGTTACCACTAGTCACATCTTTCTGGTAAATTTCTATACATAACCCATATATATATTAGGCAAATATAACTCAGTTAATTCATTCAAATTTACTGCAGGTAGACTAGAAAATAAAAAACCAAAAACTAAATTTCACCTATAGACACACATTTTTCTGGAAACTTGTATAATAATTAAAATTTCTATGTGGCTGGTTCAAAAAACGAAGAAGCTTTTTTCTATAACATACTTGAGAGATACGAAGCTGACATGCAGCTAACTCCTTTTCATTTTCTTCCATTTTTTTGTTGCTCTCAGTTTGTGTGCTTTCTAACTGCTTGCAGCGTTTCACCATGGTTTTTACTTCTGACTTCATTTTGCTAATGTAGAGCCTTGCAACAGTGAACTCTTCATCTATCATGCCAGTTCCCTCAGGCTGCTGTGAGGAAAAAGTAAAATAAAAAATTAAAGCCAAAAATGTTCAATGTGTGTTTTCTCAATTAGGCTGTAAAATCTTTTTATAAAATATATTTTAATATTACTCAATATTCATACAAAGTCTGGATCTTATTTTATCTTTTATTATTGTGCTTACTTTTTGCCTTCCTTTTGTTAAAAACTGAAAATAATGTTAATACATGCCAACAAGAAATAAATGTAAACCTAAAGAAAACACAAAAATACAAACCAAACTGATAAATTCTGCCTCTTTCAATTTTTAAATTTCCTCTTTACAGGGCCTCTTCAGTAAATTCATTGTTAATCATGTACATGTTCAGCTTAAAATTTAACAACAGCAGGTTTAGTTGGCAGGGAAAGGATGACCTTTAAGTTCAACCAGAAGGAATTGTCTTCACTGTATATTCCTTAACTTTTATAAGTTTCATTACCAAATTCCAGTACAATAATGAGTGCAAAACTAAACAGAGCTTGGGAAGGAAGAAAAAAAACTGTCTTTGCAGATGGTATGATTGATAAAGTTTATATGTAGAGTCAAAAGACCCTGAAGAGCTAGCGTAATACTAAAGAAAAACAAAATCACAGGACTTGAAACTATGCAACTTACTATAAAGCTTTAATAATCAAGACAGTATAGTATTGGCAAAAGAATAAATAGGCTGGGCATGGTGGCTTAAGCCTCCCAGCCCTTTGGGAGGCTGAGGTGGGCAGATTGCCTGAGGTCAGGAGTTCGAGACCAGCCTGGCCAGCATAGTGAAACCCCATCTCTACTAAAAATACAAAAATTAGCCAGGCGTTGTGGCAGGCACCTATAATCCCAACTACTCAGGAAGCTGAGACAGGAGAACTGCGTGAACCTGGGAGGCGGAAGTTTACAGTGAACTGAGATTGCACCACTGCACTCCAGCCTGGGCAACAGAGTAAGACTCTGTCTCAAAAAACAAAACAAAAAATAGATAAAATAGGTTAACAGAATAAAGAGTCCAGGAATAGACCCACAGAATATAGTCAACTGATCTCTGACAAAGGTACAAAGGCAATTTAATGGAGAAAGGATAACCTTTTCAACAAATGGTGCTGTAACAACTGTACATTCAGATGTAAAACAATGAATCCTGGTACAGACCTTACCCCTTTCAGAAAATTTAACTCCAAATGGATCACAGACTTAAATGTAAAGGCAAAACAAAACAAAAAAAACTTTAACATAGGGGAAAAGCTAGGTGACAATGGGTTTGGTGGTAAGTTTTTAAATATAATACCAAAACCACAATCCATTAAAGAAAAAATTGGTAAGTTGGACCTCATTAAAATTTTTAGTCTGCAAAAGACGATGTTCAGAGTAAAGAAGCCACAAACTGTGAAATAATACAAAACACTATCTGATAAAATACTTATATCCAAAACAGATGAAGAGCTCTTAAAACTCAACAATAGGGTGGGGTGCAGTGGCTCACGCCTGTAATCCCAGCACTCTGGGAGGCTAAAGCGGGTAGAACATGAGGTCAGGAGTTCAAGACCAGTCTGGCCAATATGGTGAAACCCCGTCTCTACTACAAATACAAAAATTAGCCAGGCGTGGTGGCACGCACCTATAGTCCCAGCGACTCGGGAAGCTGAGGCAGAAGAATTACTTGAACCTGGGAGGCGGAGGTTGCAGTGAGCAACAAAGCCAGACTCCATCTCCACCAAAAAAAAAAAAAAAAAAAAAAAAAAAAAAAAAAAAAAAAAAAAAAAAAAAACCCACTCAGTAAGAAAAAATGCAACTGCAAATTAAAGCAACACTGAGTCAACACCATACATTAGTAAAATCTCAAAAAACTGACAACAGCAAACACTGGCAAGGATGTGGAACACCAGGTACTCTCATTCATGGCTGATAGGAATTTAAAATGTTTCCACCACTTTGGAAGACCATTTGGGAGTTCCTTACAAAGCTCTCATAGTCATAACATAAAGCCTAGCACCTCTAGGTATTTTTACTCAACTAAGCTGAAAACTTATATCCACAGGATTACTTACACATGATTTTTTTTTTTTTTTTTTTTTTTGAGAAACAATATCTCACTCTCTCACCCCAGCAGGAGTACAGTGGTAGAATCTTGGTTCATTTCAACCTCCATTTCCTGGGCTCAAGCAATTCTCATGCCTCAGCCTCCAAATACCTGGGACTAGTTTCTGTATTTTTAGTAAAGACAGGACGACTTCACCATGTTGGCCAGGCTGGTCTCAAACTCCTGGCCTCAAGTGATCTGCCCACCTGAGTCTCCCAAAGTGCTGGGATTACAGTGTGAGCCACCACACCCGACATACACATGAATGTTTATAGCTGCTTTATTCATAATTGTCAAAAGCTCAAAGTAACCACATGGGTGAATGAATAAAAAAACTGTGGTACACTCATATCATGGAATATAATTTAGTGATTAAAAGAAACGATCGAGCCATGAAAAGACATGGAAGAACCTTAAATGCATATTGTTAAGAGAAAGAAGCAAGCCAAAAGGGCCACATATACATGCCATAGGATTCCAACTATATAACATTTTGGAAACAGCAATAGTATAGAGATAGCAAAAACATCAGTGGTTGCCAGAGGTTCAAGAAGTAGAGATCAGTAGTGGAAACACTGGGAATTTGTTAGGGTGGTGTGGAAACTATTCTAAATACTGTAACACTGGACCTATAATATTATGTACTCCTTAAAATCTACACAACTATAGAATACAAAGATTACAATAATCATTGTAAACTATAACATAAAATTGTAAACTGTAACTTAAAAACAACGAAAGTAGAGCTGTAACAGAGCTTATAGATGATGAGAATTACTTGTTAATGACAAAAATACTGAGAATCCTTGCTGTTTTCTTTTTTAATTAAAATAGCTATTTGCAAGGATGACTTATTTTCAAATTTCTATATAGAATAGTGAAAAAAATAATCTAGTAGTCAGGGAAGCTAGATTTCATCCCTCTGCCACTATACATAAGCCATTTCCATTCTCTATATATACTTTTTGACTTAAATCATAATTATTTGAATATGAAATGTTAAGATTTTTCTAAAAAGCTGCAAATCTACAAAGCAAATACTGAACATCTTTCTAGTATTTTGCAATGTGAAATAAATGTACTTTTCTATCCTAGAGATTTCTCCACATCTCACAATACTCTATATCTCATATTACTCCACCATAAACAGGATAGGGCAGAATGTCCACACTGATGGTGAAGAGAAAGCAAGTCAAGTAGCCCGATATTTAAAAATAACACTTTTCCTCTGTTTCAGTGAGGTGAGTCCACTGAAGAAATAACATATGAAAATAAGAGTCATGAGAATCCTTGCCTCCATCAACAAAGAGTAAGTTTCATTTTATCTTTTATTCTTTTTCTACTTTCTAAATATTTCTTTTTTCTTCATTTTTAAACTGAAGAATCAGTTAACAGCAAACAGCAACATTAAACAATGTAACAGACAGAAATACATACTCCATATTGAAAACTTTTATTTCAGTTCCAACTCTGGTTAATAAACTGGGCTTTTTAGTAGGCTCTCAATATAAACCCAAGTGTATGCTCTCTTTGTTTCTGTATAGGCTTTAATCAAAAAGGGTAAAGTCTAAACAGCTACTGTGATATATAAATTTTTCATGTTATATGCATGATTTTTCAGTTAAGAGTCTTAGTTTGGTTCTTTGGTCTTAGTTTTTAAATCTACCACCAAGCCACATGCCTAATGCTAACAATCAATATTAGTATCAAAAAGATTAGGACAAAGAGGCATAAAGAAAGTGGCAACATTTTGAAAACTGAAAACTCTGGAGTTCATTACATTATTCTACTATTTTATGTTTGAAATTTTCCCATTAAAATTAAAAACAAAAAAAAAGAATTAAGAAAGCAGTGCTCATCTTTTACTTTTCTTTAAATATTTAAAGCAACTTCAAGCCCATTCATT